TGCCTGACAGTGGTGGGGTGGCCCTTCCCTTGTGCACCCCACGTGCAAAATGGAAGTTTTGCTGCCACTCCATTGCTGAGTTAGAGACCTCCATGGTTAGCACAGAGCTCCCAACATCCCAGCATCCTCCATCACAACAGCCCCAAACCAAGACCAATTAAATCCACCATTATGGAACCCTTATTCCCCCTCCCACACACACACCTTTGGTGACAGCAGGGTGGGAGTTCCCTTGGTGAGCACTAGTTCAATGCTAGCACATAAATAGGGAATTCCCGACTCCAAGCACCAAAGGGTTATGCAGCAAAGGCCACTTAGTCCTCTGTACAAGCATCAGAGAAGTAGTTCTTCCCCTCCTCCCCTAGCCCCCATTTTTAATAGAATTCATACAGAGTCAGTGGTCAGGGCACTGCCAGTTTCAGCAACAGTACAAGACACTCTTCCAGCCAGTACAAGGTCCTTTATGTTAGGATATCGTGGGCTTGGTGTTCTACCAGCATCTCCATGCTCTTCACATCTGTGCACCAGAATTCCAGGCGGTCTTTCATGCCCTTTATCTAGGAAGCAAATCCACAAGCACTTTAGAACCGGGAAACATGGAAGTTAACAGGGGTTGTAGAGGTTAGGGACACAAGAACTGAAGCTTTTCTCTATCAGAATGTTTCCCAGGACAGCCAGGATTATTAGAGACGTTAACATGCAGCATGTCTCCCAGTAGTGTCTTTTATTTTCTGAAATTCATTTCATCCTGATAGCGAGATATTTATCTTATATATAGTTTTGACGGTACCATAATTAGGTAGGAAGACGCAGAGGATCAATCTGAATAAACTTGATTTTGCCGGCTCAACAAAGGGCTTACATAAGGCACAGTAACTGACACAGAAGAGGAATGTTTTACCAGTGCTTCCCTCTCCTCCCATCCTACACAGAGATAAGCTTTTCCCCTATAACACTCTGGCTAAAAATTCATTACAACCCGAAGGGTTTAATACCTTACCTATTAGCCTCGGACCCTCACCCTGCCTGGTCCACACAAATTCTTAATAAGTTAAATCAGATTGGCCTATTACCAGAAGATCTCTTCTATGGGAGCCTATGCAAGGCAGGAACAGCTGTCGCGCAGAGGCTTTGTGATGTTGAATCACAAAATGAAGAAGCCTCGCTACCCGAGAACTTCAGAAATATAAAATCTTGGCCTCATTTTACTGTCGCCCCTTATTTAGTTAACATTACCCATGAACCCTACAGATGGGCCTTTCCAGAACCCGTTTTGAGGCACTCCCTTCCGCTGTACTGCAAGGTAAATTCACTCGAGTTCCAATGCATGAACGTAGATGCCCATGCATGGCTAATATGCTGGAATCAGTTACTCATGTCCTCCTGTTCTGCAGATTCTATCGGGAGAAACGAGACCATCTTATACTACCCCTTTTGTCTAGATTTCGCCCTCTGCAGTCTTATCTTGACTTTAGGCCAGAAGTCCTTTGTAAATCCCTCCTAGAAGACGTCCAGAGCTCAGTGACTTACGCTGTGGCAAAATTTTGTTGCTTAGCTATTAGGAAACGTAAACTTATTTTAGCTGAAAAAACTGTATGATTCTCTTATTTTACTAATGTTATTAATTTTCTCTTGTTAATGCTTTTATACAATTCCTATGTTTTTACTGTTTTAATTCTTCCTATATCAGAATTGTACTGTTTTACTGGCTTTTGCTGTAATAAATTAGATCGCTTTTCCCCTCAAGACTCCAGGCCAACCAGAAAAAGGGTGTAGCATCAAGATCTCAGCCATGATTACCTGTTGTAAATCCAGCACCCGTGGTTGGACCCATGTCATGTGAACTTTTTTATCCACTTCATCAATACTGCCCTTTACTAAACCCACTGAAAGTGCCTTCATCACCAACAGCTCCACCTGCAGAAGAAAATAAGAACCTTTGCTGGCTTCAGAAAGTTCTCAACTGTTCTCAAGCAAATCACTGTACAACTGAACAGTAGAAGTATTTGTTAGAAATCAAAATAAAGCCATTAATAAGAACAGAAAAAATAAAGTATTGAAACTTTAGTCTCTGTAACTACTTGCCTAGAAGCTGTTCACCAACCTGAATTTAACAAAGAATATTTTAAATGAATCACCTGAAGTTTTTTAACAGTGAATGAATACACTCAACCGAAGCTCAGGACCTTTGGCTTCTTCATATATCAGTTCACAGAGCAACTCACCTCATTCACAGTGACTTTGGCACTCTTAGCAATCTCCTCAAAAGTGAGTTGTCTGTGATTTGCTGGTCGAGTGAAGGTCATCTGCAGGCAAGTAAAATTAAGGTTAATTTAGCCTCAACTCAGGGGCTGCGGTGGCTCAAGTGGTTAAGACGCTGAACTGCAGACCGGAAGGTCAGCTGTTCAGCAGTTCGAAACCCGAGTGCTGCATGACTGAGTGAGCGCCCGTCTCTGGCCCTAGCTCCTGCCAACCTAGCAGTCCGAAAGCAAGACATTGCAAGTAGAAAACAGGTATCGCTTCGGTGGGAAGGTCACAGCGTTCCATGCGCCTCGGCGTCTAGTCATGCTGGCCACATGACCACAGAAAGGTCTTCGGACAGCTCTGGCTCTTTGGCTTGGAAACAGAGATGAGCACCGCATCCCTAGAGTCGGAGTCGACTGGCTTTCGAACAAGGGAAACCTTTACCTTTACCTAGCCTCAACTCCAAAGAAAGATATTCTCTTAAAAACCCCAAATCAGCATAAAAGCTTTTTTTTACTTACCCTCGTCATGAATGAGGTCATTTGTCCTAAGAAAATACACCCACTTGTGGGCACAGTCATAAACCACCTTACGTTACAGCCAGGAAGGGCTTAGAAGGTGATCAGTAGCTGGGAAGAGGCAGAGCCTGGGATTTTAATTTACTCACAGATGCAAGACTCACTCTGGTTGGCTAACTGGGTTTCAGTCGGCATCTAAGGTCCACCCTTCTAAGGAGAATAAGAATACTGCTTACCAACCATTGACATAACCAGGAATAAAAGCAGCTTGTCAGTTGGGAAACTGCGTGGGTGTTGGGAGCGAGAGAAAACACTCTCTATAAGTACACCCAGGGGTCATTTCCTGCGAGAGCGCACAGGAACGGAGCTCCAGCAGTAAGGAGCCCAGGGTGCGGGCACATGCAACAAGCCCCGCCCCCTGCTCCCAGCAGCCCTCAGTCGGGCCACGAGGAGGAAGAAGCAGCAAGGTAAGTTGCAGCACCACCCACTTGCTCGCCTTCAGGTACGAGCTCTCCCTCCTCTGTGAGGGTAGATTTGCGCGTTCCCCCCCCCCCAAATAGCTAGCAATCCAAAACAGTCCAGTGGCACCTTTAAGACCAAGTTTTATTCAGGTACAAGCTCTCCCTCCTCTGCAAGGACAGATCTGCACATCACCCCCCCAATAGCTAGCACTCCAAAACAGTCCAGTGGAGCCTGAGCGGGGGGTGTTGCCTTCTGACACACGTCCGGTGACGTCAGGGGGTGTGACATGTGCAAATAAGGTATGCTAATGAGCTCCTGCACCTCTTTTTCTACGAAATGACCCCTGTGGGGATGGAGGTGGAATACCAGAGTTAGGTAAGCAACATTCTCTTTGTTTATATATATTTATGTCTTTAGAGTTGTTTTTTCCATTCTATGCTGACAGATTTCTGTTCATCTGTGCTGGGCCTCTGTAGAATGGTGAGTGCACACAATCCTTGCACCATTTCCTTACTCCCTTTCTGGTGCCTGACACCAGATGGACAGCATAAAGAACAGGGGTACTCTTTGCGGGGGGGTGGCCCTGACACCTCAAGGGGCTCAGGAGGAGCTTTGGGGAAGTATGGAGAAATTCCACCCAGGGAGAGTGGGATTCCGCAAAAGCTCCTCTCAATCTTTCCAGTTGCCTTGGCTCTCAACGGCTTTCACACAGTGGATGACAAGATCAGCAAGAGGGGGAAGATGCCTAGTGGGGCTTTGAGACAATCCTTACCTGTCTCTGTGAAATAACCGATTGACTAGGCTCCTGCAAGGTCCCTTCCAACTCTAACACTCTATGATTCTGACAAACAAGCTAGATTTTTTTTCACAGCAGGATATGATAAATTCTCTTTAAAAGGCTGGCTGTTATTGAGGGATATGGATGTGAAAAAATCAGCTTGCTGAACAAACCCCAAATAAAAATATGGATTCAGCCGATGCCAAAGTGCTCTGCTGAGTAAGCACCTGAATGAAACCTATGCCAATTTTACATTAGAGGTAAAGGGTTTCCCTTCCTCGAAAGCAAGTCGAATCCGACTCTAGGGTTGCGGTGCTCATCTCCATTTCCAAGCCGAAGAGCCAGCGCTGTCTGAAGATGTTTCCGTGGTCATGTGGCCGGCGTGACTAAACGCCGAGGCGCACGGAACGCTGTTACCTTCCCACTGAAGTGGTACCTATTTATCTACTTGCAATTTCTTGCTTTCGAACTGCTAGGTTGGCAGGAGCTGGGACCAGAGAAGGGAGCTCATGCCGTCATGCAGCACTTGGGTCTCGAACTGCTGAACTACTGACCTTCCAGTCTGCAGTTCATTATTACATTAGAGCCGTTTAAAGAAGCTTCAGACAGCAAACGAGACTTAAAAGACTGACATATAAGGAAACTCTACTATTTTGAAAAACAGGAATTCCACTACGGTCAGTTGGATCAAATTAGGTCATGGATATGCCAGGGTAACGGTACATATCACTTGGATACCAAGTGGTGCTCTTACACAGATGTAGGATTCCAACTTGAATTACCCATTCCTTTGTTTCAGCTGCAGTGGAATGGCCAAAAGTGACAAAGCACAACTCTTTTTGCCTCACAATATAAAAGGAGTGTACCTCCTATCATAACAATAACAGAAGTATTTATTTATTTACTTGTATCCCGCCCTACCCCGCAAGCAACCTCTGGGCGTCTCACAACACACAAATATAACAATTTAAAATATTAAAACATAATATAATAAAAGATTAAAATTCAAATCCATACATAAATCACGAGATGACAATAATACCCTTAAAGCGACCTCGGAAAGTTTTGACCCTTGTATGTGTGCTCATATATACTGATTTTTATCAAGTGGCAAAAATTCCCACCGCTCAATATATTAAAAATACCTGTGAGTGGCACAGGTGAATAGAATGGGGGGGGGGGGGGTGTGGGGTGTGTCTATGGTGTCTGCCGCCTTACCAAAGGCCTGGCGGATCAGCTCTGTTTTACAGGCCCTTGTGGAATGGTTGTAAATCCTGCAGAGCCCTGATCTCAATTGGGAGACTGTTCCACCAGGCCTGGATGAGGCTAAGTGGACATCCTGTGGGCCGGGGATCGCCAGCAGATGTTGATCTGAAGAACACAGAGATCTCCGGGGACATAGCGGGAGAGATGGTCTTGCAGATACGGTGGTCCCAGATTGCACAGGGCTTTAAAGGTTAATACCAGAACCTTGAACTTGATCTGGTACTCAACTGAAAGCCAATGAAGCTGGTGGAGCATAAACTGTATATGTGCTTGTCCCGAGGTCCCAGTAAGGAAACGCGCAGCTGGAGTTTCCGGATCAGTCTCAAGGGTAGCCCTGTGGAGAGTGAGTTACAGTAGTCCAGCCTGGAGGTGACCAAGGCATGGATCTCCCCATGGGGGGAGAGACAGGGGGCCAATTTCCTGAATTGTCAAAGATGGAAAAAATGCTGATCTGGCAACGGTTGTTACCTGGGCCTCCACTGAAAGTGAGGCATCCAAGGTCATACCCAGACTTCTCACCGTTGATGCTGGCACTGACGGCACCCTGTCGAGGGTGGGGAGCCGGATCCCCAGTTCTGTCTCCCCGCAGCTCAGGCACAGGGCCTCCGTGCCACAGCCTCCAGGGCCCTAGCCAGAACCTCTGGGGTGGTACCTGGGTGGCTGTCCATCAGCAGCTATAGCTGGGTGTCATCAGCGTATTGGTGATAACCCAGCCCAAACCTCTGGACCAGCTGGGCAAGAGGGCACATGTCGATGTTAAGTAACATAGGGGAGAGGATGCCACATACCAGTGGGTGGCGTGGTGAGACCTTCTCCCCAAGTGCCACTCTCCGTCCCTGACCTTGGAGAAAAGAGACAAGCCACTGCAAGGCGGTCCCCTTGTATCCCCATGTCGGCACGGCAGTGGGTCAAAGGACTGCAATCGACCATGCCAAACACGGCTGTCGGATTGTCGACTCTCATAGATTACTCCGAGGTCCCCACAGCCTCTGCCAAGAGGCGGCATCATCACGGTGGACACTGAAGCCCCCCAGAACTAAGGGCCTGGTGGAGTCCAAGGCCCAAAGGCTCGGCAGGGTACAGGCTGAAACCAGGTAGCCAAACTCTCTTCAGCCTCCCAGGCCAATCCGTGCCGGAGATTTTTGGTGCAGGGGGAGTGTCCTGAAGGAGAAAGACTCTCAAGTGAGTATCGCCGCCCCCCACCCACCCATTTGTCCAGGATTGATGAAGGACTGAGGAACCTGGGGGGGGGGGGGGAAGGGAGTATAGTCAGTCTGGCACTTTACTTTCCGAAATTCTCTTAGTAGTGTGAAGAACGCAGAAAAAAATAAATAAATCTACATCCGGCCGGAAGAGCTCATTAGATACTTAAGACAAAAACCTATCAAACAACCAAATGAAAATACATTTCCAAATTCAACCAATTCATTAGAGATACTATGTGTCAAACGGATTTCCACTACTGACTCACCTCCATGAGGCACAACAGCTGAATCTTCTGTAGGAGGAGAGTTTCATTTGCAGCCAGGTCTGGCTGTAAAACATAACAGTGCAGAGTCTGGGTTAGTCAAACATCTCGATTTGGATTATATCTAACTTTGGGATACCTCTTGATTCTGGGTGAGCCAGGTTGGGTGGAGAATCTGTTTTGGACTTTGAAAATCCATCGGACTCAGTCTTGCCAGGTAACATCTGGTTTTAGAATCAATGCTTGCAAATGTACTTAGGTTAAATATTCAGAAAGGAGGAGGAGGAGGAGAGTTGGATTTATACCCTGCCCTTCAGTCGGAGTCTCAAAGCAGCTTACAATCTCCTTCCCTTCCTCTCCCCACAACTGACACCCTGTAAGGTAGGTGGAGCTGAGAGAACCCTCAGAGAACTGCTCTTGAGAGAACAGCTCTGAGAGAACTTTGACTGACCCAAGGTCACCCAGCTGGCTACATGTCGAAGAGTGGGGAATCAAACCCGGTTCTCCAGATTAGAGTCCACCGCTCTTAACCACTACACTGAACTGGCTTTATTGTTAAGCAAGGTTTTTAGAGGGGGGTTAGATGGATTCATGGAGGAAATAGCCCTCTCTGACTACAAGCCATGGTGAGTAAAGGGAACTTCCACATACAGAGGCAGTAAACTTCTGAAACCCAGTGTTAGAAGGAAACATCAGAGGATAGCCTTGGCCTCTATGATCTGTTTGTTGGTCCTCCAGGGCAACTGGTTGGCCACTGTGTGAACCAGGATACTGGGCTAAATGGACCACTAGTTGGACCCAGCAGGGTTGGATCCAGCAGAGTGCGTGAACTCTAATCTGGGAGAACCGGGTTTGATTCCCCACTCCTCCACTTGCACCTGGCTGGATCACCTTGGGCAAGCTGTAGTTCTGACAAGAGCTGTCCTTGAAAAAGAGCAGTTTCTGTCAGAGCTCTCTCAGCCCCACCTACCTCACAGGGTGTCTGTTGTGGGGAGGGGAAGGGAAAGGAGTTTGTAAGCTGCTCTGAGACACCTTTGGGTAGTGAAGGTCGGGATATAAATCCAATCTCTTCTTCCTCTTGTGATGTCAGAGACATATCTTACTTTTAAATGCAAACTTCCAACTATATTAGCTCAAAATTTTGACTGCAAAAGGAATATCAAGTAGAATACAGAGGGAGATTTCATTAGTGTGGCTTCCGGTAGCCACATGCAAAAATCAGAAGATGCCCACACAACTTAACACGGAATACAGCCCACCAACTCTGTACAAAAGGCTGCCAATTGCTTGACAATTTTGCAGTCTCAGGCAAGCAGCAAAAACAGGAGGCTTGAGCCCCTTGGTAAGTGGTACTTGGTTTGGTAGGTCACCAGTTGTGTAGGCCTGGATACAGAAACCAAGCTAATGGATGTCTTACAACCTGCTGTTACAAACTAATTATTTAAGTACAAAGAACAAATCAAGATCAGGGTAAGTGTAAAAAAACCAACTGTGCTAACAAAATGGTATAAATCAGGGAAATCATTATTCTGATTATATATAATCATACAGGAACTATGTTACTTTCCCAGAGTGCCATCAGTCCACACCATCCACTCACCTGCTGGCCCCATGCTGACTTCAAAGTCTGGAATTTTTCCACGTTACCACTGTTGAAGGCATAGAGCGTGTCAATCAGCCACTGCCTATCAGTGCTCCTCAAAGACTCCAGTACAGGATGCATAAGCTGAGGAAATAATACAGTGGGACGTCAATGGGACAACAGCAGCCACCTGCCTCTACCCCAATGTTTTAACCAAAAGACTGAACTTACCAGTTCCCCAAAGTTATAGACTCCTTCACCCAGGAGTCCTGCTAATCCTAAAGTAAAGGCTCTCTCCTGCTGGTCAGCCACTGAAAAGGAAAAATCTCTGGCTCAAGTGACAGTCCTACAGTCCTTCCTGCATCCCCAGTAGGAGACACCCAATGGAATGCTGGCAGTAACAGTACCTGTTCTATCTATATTTTGTGTTATGACATACAAACATGTGTGTCCTCTTGTTCTACACACAATAAGCATTCTATGCACAGAAGTGCCAAATTCTCCCGCCAAGACTTTTTTTGGGGGAAAATTACATAATTTAATATCTGCTTATTTGGGATACTTTGTCACATAATGGGGTAGAAGAAGAGAGGGACCCTGCTGGATGCTACTTTTACCACTGGGCTGACTTGGAACATCGTTATCATCCGACTTTGTTGGATGCTACCCCTGCCCTTGGGCCGACTTGAATACCGCCATCATTTGCTGTTTTCATCTACTGATGTTGTTAACTGGGATGTTGTTTTTAACTGTCTTAATTTTGGATTGTTTTATGCTATCTGATCTTGTTAGCCGCCTTGAGCCAGCGTGTCCAGCAAGGCGGGATACAAATAGAAACAATAAAATGAATAAATAAAGAGAGGAAAGGCACAGAAATTGAGAATGGAGGTGATGAGCAAGAATAGTCATAAGAAAGGCATGGGATGGGGACCTAAACAGAACTGCCAAGGGATTCGACTTCCATCTTACTACTTCAGGTTTTACCTGGCTTCGGACAAAGCCCTCCGATTTCCAAGACATGTAACTTGAGAGCTAGAATAGTATTATACATCCCCATATTAACAACTGAAAGATGGTTTTTTCACAACATAGCTACACAAAGATTCCCTTTATCCCACTTCTGACATTATCCCATCAATGACACTGAGGACTGCCTTATCAGCTGAGGAATTCATCCCCACAAATGATGACCTTCATAAGCACAACAGCTGCAGTATGTCCAACTCAGAAAGTATAATTACCTGGCAGATCTTTGACATCTATACATCCCAGGAACCGTAATGCATCCTTATAGTAAGAGGCATGATTCCCAATTGTCTGGTAATACTTGCTGGAGAGATCATAAAAGCGGCTGTGAACAGATGTCACACCAGGAAGGTTATTCAGCATCTCCTCAACCTCCTCAATGGTCTCCTAAAGGAAAAAAGGGATACCTACTTTTAACTCCCGCAAGTATTTTACGCAAATCTGTGCGTCACCATCTTTATGATGCTCTCTCTTTAAAGTCTAAGCAGTAATTAAAGAATCTCCTGCAACAGTTGGTGCATGATGCTCAGCAATATTTGACAGAATCCAAATGCAGTGCAAAACAGATTAACATAAGGATCAGAGTGCATTCAACCACTTAACTTCTGCTGGCAATAGGACTTGCACTACAGAAAGTCTTAATTTCCCTGAAGAAACATATCTACAACTTTTGTACAGATATCTGTGACTACTTAAAGACAATATCTTCATTATCATTTCTATAATTCCTAATTATATATATCTATATTTTAAAAGCCTGATTAAAGGCACAAACAGCTACTAACCCCACCACCAACTCTACTATTATCTTTTTAGTTAGATCCTCTGACAGTGCCAGTCAAACTTAGGAGAAAGGAGGTGGAAGAGTGTAACCAGACCCATACATCTATCCCAAACAGCTGATTAGCACTGGAACACAGTTTCTAACAGGCAAATTCATCAGAATCCCTATGTTATATAAAGGAAATTTCAGCACTAACACCGACATTTTGTAAGGGCCTATGGATTATGATACTGACATGTGCTGATGGCTAAAAAGACATGAAAGCAAAAGGAACCAACTAAATATTTTGAAAACCTGTTCAGCTTTCTAGCCACTTGAAGAAAACTGTTTATCATATTCACAAGCATTCTGTTGAATGATCAACAGACACACTTGTCTGAAAAAACACTATTTTCTAAGTCATATTGCATTTTCAATAAAACACTTCAAAGCTGAACAAAAATCAAAAGGAGTTTTGTCTTTTCCACAGAGTTCAATGCTGAACACACACACACACACAAGCAACAGAAGGGAGAGATACAAAAAAGAGATGAACAAAAGTGCAGATTCCATCCTGTGAAACACAGTCAAAACACGCTGCATTAATAACGACAAAAAATGTTATTATTAACTCACCTTTGTGACTTGTAGATCACCGATATTTAATTTCAACGCACCAATGGCAGTTTTACACAGAATCACAGCTTCATCACTGCTTTTTACCTGTAGCCACAAAATAGATTACACAGCACTGAAAATGATTGTTCTAGCTAGGCAAACCATTTTGGCTTAACCTGATTATGTGTATGGCCTTACTCTTAACCTTAGTCATTTCTGTGATATGAAATGCAGACTGTTGTCTAACGTAGTACATGCATGGAAAACAAGTCCACTCACTGTAATGGACTAAATATATGCATATAGTATATATTAGACAGTGCACATACCTTTTCTCGGGTCTTTTCCAGAAAAGTTAGGGCCACATTAGGATCTAAAGAGCGTAAGCAAGAAGTCACATTAAGGATCCAATGAAATACCTAAATCTATCACAGAAGTCTTGAAACTGAGGGCTTTAGGGACGTTTTTCACCCAGGATTATCCTTGGGAAGAGACCAGACAGGCCTCTGGCTCACTTCTTCCCTCCACAGCTACTAAAGGGCTTTAGAGGTGATGGCTTTATCCATGCACATTCTGATAGATAGCTATAAGGAAATGGAAACGGTATTTACCTGTCATCTGCCGGACTACATGAAGAATGATCTCTACAAGAGACAAAGGGTTCACCCTACAATACAGAGGGGTTAGTGAGAACAACTGATCTTATACAGGTACTTCAAAAATTACATTTAATTTTAAAACTTAATATTAAATTTAAAAAGTGTAAACTACACTAAAAGTTTTACCTGTGTTCAAACTCACTGATGAAATTTTCATAAAGCTGTAGCAAAAGAAAACAAAAAGGATATGTCTTGAGACAACATAAAAAATATTTCAGCTAACAGGTAACTTGGTATCATTACCTATAGGACCTTTTTTACACTGGGAGTAGTTTTTAGCTCACCACTAAGTGTATCAAATGCAGCAGGCATGGTATCAAGCAGAACTCTGGGAAAACAAGGTACATCCTTCTTGGAAGCAAGCGACTCCACAATGTGCCCTCTGAATATACTAAGAACTGTAGAAAGGCATTCACAGCCCACCTGCTCTGGCTCTAAAGATACTACAAGATTCGCCTCTCAAATTTTTGGCTTCTGTAAATGGCCAAAGTCCACAAGTGATAAGGAACATTTGCAGTGGGACAGACCTGTTTACAGATCTGAGCAGTTGCAACTCCCCTACAATCAATATTAGAGCTAATTTTATATCATCAATAAAAAACACCAACATTACACCTTCAGAACAGAATTACTTTTACCAATGGCTCAAGAAGTGTGATTATAAGCCACGTAATAAAGCTCTCTACAGAACAAAAGCTTTTTTCTCAAAACTTACTTTGAAATAAATTGTATTAACGATTAAGATGTAAACTTATGAAATTATATGAAACAACATGCCAAGTAGAGTTGCTGCATGAGTAAGCATACACAAAAAACTGGGAATACTGATTTACTTGATTCCTTGGAGATTGTCTACCTTTTTATTGCTGTTTTTTAAGTCAACAACTGAAAAACATTTGGTGAATGAGAATGCTCAGAATACAATCAAAATGATTAAAATACGTGAAAAAATAGGGTTATTACCTTGATAAGTCCATCTCCTTGGGCAAAGCAGGGGTCTTGCACAAAGTCTAGAACCTGGAGAGTCAGCTGATGCCAGAGTCTAAATAAACACACATGTGCAACAATTGAAAGAGTTAATAAAAAAAAAACCATACACGTGTTGTAAAATGAGAATGGCAGACCAACATATTCACAGGGAACAAAGTCCCTATGTGTCAAAGGATCAACATGAAAGGTTGAAGAATTGGTCTTAGTACCTTAGTGAGTTACAAGCCTGATTTGAACAATACTATTGGCAAGTCTACAACTTAAAATTAGAGCAGTGAAAGCCAACCATATGAAATAAGCCATCACATACTTCCTTATGCAGAATTGACATTTTTTTAAAGCTCTCAGCCTTTATAGTTATGCACAGTATTTTATACAGGCCCTTCAAAGTAGCAGGTAGCCTCTCGTTTTTTAAACAAAAAAGTAACAATTTATTTAACGTATTTATTATATTGTTATCTTTTCAAGCAAATGGTTGAAAAGCAGTTCAAACTGTCGAACAAATGTTCCCTGATCACGGGGTTCTCAACTGAACTGGTTGTAGTTACAACAGAGGGGTACCTTGCTGATGCCTTCCATCCTTCAAGCTAGAACAAGGCTATAAATTTACATCCATTCCTAATCCCACAGTCTGAGCCAACTTGAAGAGAAAATGTGACATTCTTTTAGTATTTTATGAAAGGACGGAGGGGGGGGGGGGAATCTGTGTTCAAATGTTTGTGGGAAAATTCCAAATTATGAGGTATGGGTATATCAGCTATGGTCTAAACTTTCAAGTAAGCAAGAAAGACCAGACACAGCATGATCAACACCAGAAGCTGATTTGAAAACCACTAGGTTTACTAAAATGTGGCAACAGCTCACTCTCAAAAACGTGGAGCTATTTAATAATGCATTACAGAACATGCTCTTTCCCCACCAGGACAATTACTAAAAAATGTCAATAGATTCAGGTGGGGTAGTCATGTTGGTCTGAAGCAACAGGACAAAGTTTGAGTCCAGTGGCACCTTTAAGACCAGCAAAGTTTTATTCAAGGTATAAGCCTTCATGTACAAGCACATTTCCTCAGATACAGTGGAACAGAACCTCCTCAACCATTACTTATAGGGGGATGGGTTGTTGTCAGGAAGGGCCATTTCGAGTCAAGATGCATAAGTACTGGATGATTACAGCTGAGACTGGATGTAAGAAAGATCTGTGAACGGCAGTAAATTAGCATACAAATACAAGAGTTAACAAACAGATGTGGAGACGAGATTTTAGTCCCGTGGCACCTACAAGACAAATAAAGTTCAATTCTGGGTACAAGCGACTGTCAAGTATCCCAAAGCAAATGTTTTATCCCCAAGTCAAGTCTAAGGAAAGTGGCACCTTGTTCTGAAAGGATGGGCGAGGCCCTCCTACATGTCTTCTTGATGAGGTCTGCTGCCTCAGTTTGTCCCCTCTAACACTGCAAAAACACTTCACCTTTGCCAGAAGCAAGAAAGATGAGTGAGCAACACTCACTCTTCATATGGAAGGTGGAGACACGCTGATCCTCTTGATTAAGCTCTGCTGCTAAAGAAACAGTAGTGAGGGCTGCCCAAGGAATGACACCTGTCCAATGCTCCCTCTCAGCTGGGGAGTCCTGTGAGCAAAAATCCTACTTGGTGAGCTGCCGGCATTAAAGTTGTGAGCCAGCGATTGGGCTCCTGAATAAATCAGTTTGCTCTCTGGAGCCCTCTTTCCTGAGTGTGAGCCGGAGGCTAAAAAACTGTGAGCTAGCTCACACTAATGCAGGTTAGAGGGAACACTGGTCCTAACCAATGCTCCCTCTCAGCTGGGGAGTCCTGTGAGCAAAAATCCTACTTGGTGAGCTGCTGGCATTAAAGTTGTGAACGAGTGATTGGGCTCCTGCATCATTCAGTTTGCTCTCTGGAGCCCTCCTGCCTGAGTGTGAGCCGGAGGCTAAAAAGCTGTGAGCTAGCTCACACGAACTCAGCTTAGAGAGAACACTGGTCACAATGAATACTCCCATTAAGCTGTGGGTCCTGTGAGCAGAAATTCTACTTTGTGAGCTGCTGACATTAAAGTTGTGAGCCAGTGATTGGGGTGCTGCATAAATCAGTTTGCTCTCTGGAGCCCTCCTTCCTGAGCTGAGACCCAAACATGTGAGCCGGAGGCTAAAAAGCTGTGAGCTAGCTCACACTGACTCAGCTTAGAGGGAACACTGGTCCTCACCAAGGCTCCCTCTCAGCGGTGGAGTCCTGTGAGCGAAAATTCTCCTTGGTGAGCTCCTGGCATTAATGTTGTGAGCCAGCGACTGGGCTCCTGCATCAATCAGTTTGCTCTCTGGAGCCCCATCCCTTCCTGAGTGTGAGGCTAAAAAACTGTGAGTTAGCTCACACCGACTCAGCTTAGAGGGAACACTGGTCCTCACCAAGGCTCCCTCTCAACTGTGGAGTCCTGTAAGCAAAAATCCTACATGGTGAGCTGCCGGCATTAAAGTTGTGCACGAGTGATTGGGCTCCTGCATCAGTCAGTTTGCTCTCTGGAGCCCTCCTGCCTGAGAAAAAAATGTGTAAGCCACAGGCTAAAAAGCTGTGGGAGCTGGCTCACACTGACTCAGCCGAGAGGGAACACTGGTCCTCACCAAGGCTCCCTCTCAGCTGGGGAGTCCTGTGAGCAAAAATTCTCCTTCGTGAGCTCCTGGCATGAAAGTTGTGAGCCAGCGACTGGGCTCCTGTATGAATTAGTTTGCTCTCTGGAGCCCTCCTGCCTGAGTGGGAGGCTACAGAACTGTGGGAGCTGGCTCACACCAACTCAGCTTAGAGGGAACACTGGTCTTCACCAAGGCTCCCTCTCAGCTGTGGAGTCTGGTGAGCAAAAATTCTCCTTGGTGAGCTCCTGGCATGAAAGTGGTGAGCCAGCGACTGGGCTCCTGCATGAATTAGTTTGCTCTCTGGAGCCGTCCGGCCTGAGTGTGAGCCGGAGGCTAAAAAGCTGTGAGCTGGCTCACACCGACTAAGCTTAGAGGGAACACTGGTCCTCACCAAGGCTCCCTCTCAGCTGTGGAATCTGGTGAGCAAAAATCCTACATGGTGAGCTGCCGGCATTAAAGTTGTGCGCGAGCGATTGGGCTCCTGCATCAGTCAGTTTGCTCTCTGGAGCCCT